AAATCAGCGGCCACCGACTGCAACTTGCGACTATCATTCGGATTGGCTGAGGAAGAATCCCATATCGCAATCGCATCGCAGCTGCGAGTAGCAAATGTGATATGGTCTTTAATAGAAGATGTGAACGAGAAGATGCGAAAAAAGATAACATCGTGATGCTGTTGGCATCATCTATATATGACATGGCCATTCTCCACAGAGAAAACTAAGACCGTGGTTCGATTCATGCTGACAACATTCATGAGCATCGTTTGTCTTCGTTTAACATTTGACAAACAACAAGGATAAAATGATTTTTAAGCGTTGTGAGCATGAATCGGACCGCGGCCTAGCATAGAGACGTCAACTGATTATGGGAGCTTTCCATCTACGACACAGCGATCACCTCATCCTTATTTAACATTTCTCTCTTTCTATTAAATCTTCAGCTTCTCTCGTATGAACGCTCTGTCTATCTTATAAGTCTATTGCTGGATTCACACTGCATCCGATTTGCGTCGTACGACTCTCTGCAACCAATCAGAAAACAGGCTTTCGATGATATGAAGCAAAATCCATCAGAATTCTGTTTTCTGATTGGTTGCAAATCGTCGTACGACGCAAATCGGATGCAGTGTGAATCCAGCAAATGGCTCCAACTCGCCGGCTCGCGTAAAGTAAGGTGAAACAATGTATAATGGCGGTAGCAATACTGGAAATAGCCAATCAAATATGTCCGAATATGCACTTTCCTTCTGCGCATCCATCAGATTGCTTCACCTTATATATTTCCACCATGATCACGACGCTACGCTTGCTCAGCGCCGAGACACTACCGTGTCTCCAGATAACGTCTTTAACATATGCTGCATTCCAATATACACTGCCACTGCTAAAAATGTATATATGGTGTACGTAATGAATACTATAAATTTCCAGTACTGGTAATGAGCAACGAAACGCAAAGGCTCTTTTAAGTTAAGGACGCTATTCATGAAAATTTATTACAATTTTTTAATGTATACTGTTATCAGATACAATAATCGTTTATTATTTACACTATTTCAGAGTCCCAAATTTTCGATACATATACTAGTATATCATATTTATACGTATTGAGTGTTCATTAAATAAGTTAGGTTTATTAATAAAAACATTAAAAAAATATTTATTTATTTTTGAATAACATTGTAACTGTATTTGTTACAATTATGTAACGTATACTTACCGTTATATGATATAATAATTGTTTATTACTTCTAACTACACTAATTTTGAATTTCCGATACGCATATTATACCATACTTATACGAATGGATGTATTCAGTATATCATAATCGCCCACTGAGCACTCAGTGAGCTCTTACATCTGATTGGTATATTTCGCTTAAAATTAAGCTTATTAAAAACGTTTAAAATATGTATATTTCTTACAACTTTTAAATGTATATTATTATACGTATGTCATACATCATATCTATATCATATTTATATCATTGAGTATTCGTTATGTAAATTAGGTTTATTAAAAACGTTTAAAAGATGTATATTTCTTTTAAATGTATATTGTTATACGTATGTCATACATCATATTTATATCATATTTATATCATTGAGTATTTATTACGTAAATTAGGTTTATTAAAAACGTTTAAAAGGTGTATATTTCTTACAACTTTTAAATGTATATTGTTATACGTATGTCATACACCATATTTATGTCATATTAATATCATTGAATATTTATTACGTAAATTAGGTTTATTAAAAACGTTTAAAAAGTGTATATTTCTTACAACTTTTAAATGTATATTGTTATACGTATATCATATACTATATTTATATCATATTTATATTATTGAGTATTTTTTACGTAAATTAGGTTTATTAAAAACGTTTAAAAGGTGTATATTTCTTACAACTTTTAAATGTATATTGTTATACGTATATCATATACTATATTTATATCATATTTATATTATTGAGTGTATATAAGGTATATTGAAAGCGTTTAAATAACGTATATTTGTTACAATATATTTAACCTATATTGTTATACGGTATAATGATCGTTTACTATTTTTATCTATACCAATATTAAACCATTAGTACGTATATTACATCAAATTTATACCATTGAGTGTTTATTGGGATCTTCGACTGATATTATCTTCGATTTAAAAAAAACTTCTATTAAAATAAAATTATTTGTACACAAAATTAATACTAATTTTATTGTGTTAATATATTATAAACAATATTAAAATAGTAATTTAAATATACATATTAAACTGAATTATTGTTACACAAAATTAACATTAAACTGGATAAATATATTCAACTATATTAATATTAAACTAAATCATTATTGAATTGAATTAATATTGAATTAGATTAATATTAAGATATATTAATACCAAATTATATTGATATTTATTTAAATTAATATTCACATAATAACTAATTATGCCCCGAAGAAAAGTAATTCGAATAACTGAAGAAGAAGAATTTCAAAATAATATACGTGAAAGAAAAGCAAAATGTCAAGCTGAAAGACGAGAAAAAAAAACGAATGATGATTAAAAAAGATTGCCAACTTTCATCAAATACTAATGAAATTTGTTCGAACATATTACAAGCTTCTACTTTGTCAAAAAACGTAGTAATAGATTCTCATAGTTCAACCATTTCGATTATGAAAACAGTGTATTCAGCAAATCAAACAATTACCACTACATCACAAACAATTAATGCATCAACCATTACTAATATTTCTAGAACAAAAAATAATAATGAAATTAATATAGTAAACGATAATATTAAATCATTTAATGTTAATAACAATACTGAAATCGTTGAAACGATAATATTAAATCATTTAATGTTAATAACAATACAGAAATCGTTGAAACGATAATATTAAATCATTTAATGTTAATAATAATACAGAAATCGTTGAAAATGTTTATAACTCATCTATGAAAACTTTATCGAATAATGTTATGTTTGCTATACCTAGCTATTAGAGTAGTGCGGTGGAAGGGCAATACAGAGGCAAAGATACAAGAACACAAATAGTCTGTTTATTGTTTCTCCCAGATATTACATTACCGTTAAAGGAGAACGTTGTGCTCACGTGGTCGCGTAAAGACGAGAATGAAGAATTGGTGTAACCACAAAAGGCAGAGCGACAACTTAACTAGTGCTATAGGTAACTAGGAGCACTTGACTACTAGTACTAAACGACTGCGCGCGCACTTGCCCTCGGTGAGTGCAGAATCAAAGATATGCAGCGCCAAAAACAAACTGTTCGTACCAACACTAGCACATCAAATCAATTAATAAATTTAGACGGTAATAGTGAATTCAAAAATTTATTATCTGAAATTCCATCACAAACTACTATAAGAAATGATAATGTATTTAATGGATCACAATTAATATTTTCCTCACATAATCTAATTGATAAAAATGTGGTTGTAGAACGTATTAAAAAAACACGATCTTTACAGAAAGGTTATATCGATATTATTATATTAATACATCATACATTAATAAATTACAAAATATTATAGAACATTATATAGGAGAAATGAATGTAAAGTGTGAACATTGTAGTGCAAAACATTTTAATTCTGAAAAAGTAGCTAATAAAGATAATTCATTTAACGATTGCTGTAATCATGGATCTGTTGAATTAAATCCTTTAACCCAACCTCCGTATGAACTTTATGAATTATTTAATGGAAATCATCCAAAATCAAAACATTTTTATGGTCGTATTCGTGGTTATAATAATACGTTTTCATTTGCGTCATTTAATGCAAAAACTTCAAATTTTGATACACAAAGACGTGGACCTTATTGTTTTAAAATTCAAGGACAAATATATTATCAAATTAATACTGCGCTATATCCCACACCAAATGAAACGCCAAGCTACGGACAACTTTTTATTGTAGATAATAATGAAGCAACAGAATGTAGATTACATCGAAATTCGAATCTTAATGAAGAAATGTTACATTTAATAGATAAATTAATGCGTAAGAATAATATTTTTGCACAATCCTATCGAATGATGCATGAAGAAATTCAAATGCAACAATTAACTGAAAATTACAATATGCGTGATTTACAATTGGGATTTTTAACAAAAAAAGGTATTGATCGGTACAATATACAAAAAGTAAATGAAGTAGCAGCTGTTTTTTATACTACTGCAGATGGAGAAATTCCGGAAACATATGTCACAATTTATAACAAACGTAACAAGACACTACAACAAGTTAGTACAATGGATCCAAATGTAGAACCATGGATCTATCCATTGTTTTATCCATATGGTAATCAAGGTTGGCATGATAATTTAAAACGTAAAAATAATAATAAACGAATAAGTAGAGCTGCTTATATAAAATATCGAATGGCTATACGTGTTTAGTAATTTTAATGTTTTTATTATGGGAAGACGATTATTTCAATAATGGGTTGTAGATAATTACATTAAAATTGAAAAAGATCGGATTAATTATTGCAAACAAAATCAAAAACAACTGCGAATTGAAAGTTATCAAGGATTAATTGATTATTTGGCAAATGCTGCTAATAATGACAATGCTCATGTAGGAAAAATGATTATACTTCCATCGACGTTTGTAGGTTCACCACGTAATATGTTACAGCATTATCAAGATGCGATGACTATTGTTAGAAGATATGGAAAACCAGATATTTTTATTACCATGACTTGTAATCCAATTTGTCGCGAAATTAAAGAAAATTTATTTCCAAATCAACAACCTGCAGATGGACCAGATATTTGTGCTCGTGTATTTAATATAAAAAAAGATTATTTAATTGATATTATCGTTAGACAAAAATTTTTTGGTGAAGTTCTCGCATATGTTTATGTGATAGAATTTCAAAAACGTAGATTGCCACACATACATTTGTTGGTTACTTTGAAACAAAACTACAAGATATTAAATCCTGAAGTAGTTGATAAATTTATTTCAGCAGAAATTCCTAATCCCGATAAAAATAAAAATTTACACAACATTGTAATGAAACATATGATTCATGGGCCATGTGGAAATTGGTGTTTGATTAATAATAAATGTTCGAAATATTTTCCAAAATCGTTTCAATCTGAAACGATCATGGATGAGGATGGTTATCCACAATATCGTCGTCGAAATAATGAATTATTTTACGAAAGACCTGGACGATATGTTGTTAATAACCGATATGTCATTCAGTATAATCCAACGCTTTTACTTTTATTTAATAGTCATATTAATGTGGAAATAGTTTCAAGTATACGGTCTGTGAAATATTTATATAAATATATTTATAAAGGTCACGATGCTGCATCTGTAATTATTGGAGAAAATATAGATAAAATGATAATTCATGCAGATGAAATTCAAGAATTTATCGAAGCTCGTTATGTTGGACCTGTTGAAGCATGTTGGCGTATTTTGAGCAAATCTTTACAAGAAAAGAGTCATACTATATTTCGTTTACCAATACATTTACCAAATAAACATAGTGTAATAATCGACGATAATATTAATAATGATGCGATAAGATTTGCTGTAGAACGTATAAATGTTGTTGGATTATTTTGAATTAAATGCTCGAGATGAGGAAGCAAAACAATATTTATATAGTGACATTCCATCTCATTATGTATTCAAAAAAATAACAATTAATAATAAAACCATTAATCGTTGGGAAAAACGTCAGAGATATTTTAATTGTATTGGTCGAATGTATTCTGTTAGTCCATCTCAGATAGAATTATTTCATTTACGTATACTTTTACTACATATTAAAGGAGCGAAGAATTTTCAAGAACTGAGGACAGTTAATAATGAAATACATCAAACCTTTACCGCTGCGTGTTTAGCATTAGGACTCATAGAAGATGATAACGAATGGTCGCGCAATGAATGAAGCTAAAGTTTGGATGATGCCAAGGCGACTTCGTAATTTATATGTTCGAATTTTAATTCATTGTCAACCAGTTCCGAAAAAATTATGGGATGAGTTTAAAAGAGATATGTCGGAAGATTATATAAGACGATATGGACTTACAATGGGAATAAGAAAAACGTATAATTATATTATTAATTTACTTCAGAAGGAAAGATCAAGTATAACTACCTTTTTTGAAATGGAACAAATAGCAGAGGTACAAGAAATAAATAATGAAGAAGAAATTCAAGAAGATACATACATAGGTACGAGACAATATAAACAATTAAATGTAAAACAAAAAGAAATTGTTGATTCAATTTTAACAGCAGTAACTACTAACAATAATAGTGAAACTTGTTTTTATATTGATGGTTCAAGTGGCTCTGGTAAAACTTTTATTTATACAACTTTGTATTATTTACTTAAAAGTAAAAAAAAATAATAAATATGATGGCATTTACTGGTATTGCTGCTACATTACTTCCAAATGGAAGAACGGTACACAAAGTTTTTGGATTGCCTGTACCTCTTTTTGCTGATTCTACATCAAACATTAAAGTTCAGTCTAAAGAAGCTAATAATTTAAAACTTGTAGATGTTTTTATTTTAGATGAAGCTCCTATGGCACCTCGTTACGTATTAGAAATAATGGATCGAACGTTACGTGATATAATGCAAAATGATTTATATTTTGGTGGTAAAATCGTGCTTCTTGGTGGAGATTTTAGACAGTTATTACCTATAAAACAAAGAGCTACGCGTTGTGAAATTATAAATTTATCCATAAAATTTAGTTTCTTATGGAAACAATTAAAAATATTTTCTTTGACAGAAAATGTAAGAACCTTACCACAAGAAAAAGAATTTGCGCAGTTTTTACTAAATTTGGGTAATGGTTCTTTAAATGATTACTCGGATAATGTTTACCTTCGTGAAAAATGTATAGCGAATGCTAACTCGGATATAATAAAAGACATGTATGGAGATATTATAATACATAAAAAGTATAACACTATAGCTAATCATGTTATATTATCTGCAAGAAATGCCGATGTCGATGAAATAAATGAAAAAGTAGTTAATTTATTAGATAAAACGACAGAAAGAATTTATACAAGTGTAGATACTCTTGAAATAACTGATAACGAAGGTGAAGTAATTATGACAGAATATCTTAACTCTTTAAATCCAACGTGTCTTCCATCATATGAATTACGCTTAAGAAAATACACTGTTATTATGTTGATTCGAAACCTTAATATTAGTGAAGGTTTATGTAATGGTACTCGATTATTAATTTTAAATTTAGATAATAATTTATTACGATATGAAATTTTGTCAGGTAATAAGATTAGAGAAATTGTTTTTCTAAATCGCATTACTTTATACTGTGAAAATGTATATCTATTCACTTTTAAAAGAAGACAATTTCAGTGAAATTGGCATTTGCTATGATTATAAATAAATCACAAGGGCAAACTTTCAAAAAAGTTGCAGTAGATCTTCGAAAAAATATTTTTAATCATGGTCAATTATACATTGCACTATCAAGAGTAGGTTCTTGGGATTCGTTGAAAGTTTATTTAGGAGAATATAATTTCAGGGAAGTAAAAAATTATGTTTATAAAGAAGTAGTCGAATAATGATGCACGGATAAGGGTTAAATAATAAAATAATTTTACTATGATATCTAAAATTTGATTAGATATTGATTAAAAAATAATTTTGTATTATAGTTCTATTAAATAATAATTTTGTATTAATGTTCTATTAAATAAAATAATTATAAAAGATATTTAAATTAATTGCTTGAATATTAAACATTTTTGTGTAATACTATTGTCATTATTTTTAATTATATATATATATATTTTAAAAAATATATTACATATAATGTTCAAAGAGAAAGTAGGTGTCCCAAAATTAACGCAAGATTTGAATTAAATAGAAAACACAGTTTTTAGTCTTTAGATTGTTATTTTTTCATTGAATAATAAAGTACATAGGATAGGGTTATTTATGGAATAACACATCGGGCAAATGACCTCCACGGTTTTGCTGGCACATACGCACTCTTTTGTCGAAATTTTTCATGACCTCTCTGCATAATTGTGGCTGAATTTCGTTGGTGCAACGTTTAATTTCCTCTTGTAATGCACGGGTGATTGTGGGCTTGTTGACATAGACCTTTGACTTCAAATAACTCCATAAGAAGAAATCTAATGGTGTTAAATCACACGATCTAGGGGGCCAATTCTGATCACCGAAACGAGAGAGTACACGACCAGGAAATGTCTCATGCAGTAATTGAATTGTTTCACGGGCTGTATGGCATGTGGCGCCGTCTTGTTGAAACCACATGTCGTCGACATCAATATCATCCAATTTAGGCAGAAAGAACTCTGTTATCATGTCGCGATATCGAGCACCAGTAACAGTCACTGCTTGACCTGCCTTATTTTCAAAGAAGTATGATCCAATGATGCCTCCAGCCCAAAATCCGCACCAAACAGTGATACGTTGTGGGTGTGCATTTGTTGTTCGACAATCATATGTGGGTTCTCCGAACCCCAAATACGGCAATTTTGGCGATTAACAAAGCCATCAAGGTGAAAATGTGCTTCATCGCTTAGGATGATTTTGCTCGAAAAATCAGCATCCACTTGTTGATGTTCAATAATCCATTCCACGGACTCTCTTCGCTGTTCATGGTCACTATAGGCTTCAGTTGTTGTGTCATTAAAGTTGTCATTGATGAAGTGAAATTTGTCTTTATTTGCAGTGAAATTGATTTGTATGTAGTGTGAAATTGGATTTAAGAAACGGAAAATTTTTGTTATTTAAATTTTTTTGTTACTTATTCTTACATAAAATTAGTTAAAAACGAATTCTATGAATATGAAACGTAAATTTTTATGATTTTTCTCGTAAATTTCATAGTCTAAATAATAGTAATATATTGTAATATAATATTGTATATTGTAATATATAATATTACATTATTTTTCATGTTCGTAATTTTTTCTATTTGTTCTATTTATATTTTTCTTTCTTTTTTCTTTCTTTTTCTTTCTTTTATATGTCACAGTGATATTTTCTTTGTTCGCCTTATTGTTAGTGAAAATTATAACAAAAACTAACATTTTTAAATTGTATATACTTGATTTTACTTGATTTGTGCGTATGTTAAATACAAGATTAGTGTAGTAATAACAAATGAATAAATGGCGCGCGCGTAGCGCGCGCTTCTGTCGTGTGCTAGTCCATAAGGAAAAAAGGCATGAAAATCTCAAAGTTGGCCGTATGTCGCGATCTCATTGTTGACGCTTTATTCCTTCTATCATTGGTCCTCAGTACATCGCAAATTGCACCGATGAGACGCATTTCGTGACGTTCAATGAAATTTAAATTTATACCGCTAAAAGTATAAATAACGCTTTTTTCAATGACCGTTTTAATGATCACACGTGTAGTAGGATATTATATTGACTGTGTAGAATCACTTTAAAGGATGATGGTGAATGATAATGAATGAACAATCGTCGTTTCACAGAAGATGGATCATCGCGCGTGTGAAAGATTAGTGCGGGATATTAATTATAGCGCCGAGTTATTTTACAATAATAAAGTAGTAAAATAATAAATAGCGATAAGGAATTGAAACTAAAGGAAAATAGGTGTGACAAGATATTTTAATTTCAGTTATTATTCATTTTTCATGAAAAGGAAAGATACGTTTTTTATAAAAAGTTAATATATAGAGAACGTTTTTAAAAAGCTGTATAAAATGTCTTTATTACGTTATAAATATTTAAGAGACTAGAGAGATACGAAATCAGATATTGGTGAGAGAGGAGAGACGAGAGATCAAAAATGAGAAAGAAGCGAGAAAGGCAAAGAAAAAACGAGACACAGGTGAGAGAAGCAATTTAACTATAGAATTTAATCTTAAAATTATATCGTTGTTGTTAAAAATTAATAATTCGATACATTTTATGTTTTATATCTGTAAATTTCTATAAATAAAATGTATTGTAAACAATTTATTTTTTAGTAATGACGAAATAGGGATGAGAGTGACTAGACAAGAAATTGGTAGGAAGAAAGAGATTTAAGGCAAGTGATGAGACGCGATAGATGCAAGAGCCGAGAGATGAAAGAAGGAAGAAACTGGATAGAGCTGAAAGATGAAAGAGGAGATTTGAGAGATACGTTTTAATTACGTTATATTTGTGTTATATTTTATTTTCAGTTATAGTTGATAACATCGTTAACGTTAGAGTAACAATGTTTTTCGTGTTGGAGAGCATGCAGCACGTTGCCTAACAAGATGAAAGAATGAAAGAATGGAAAAAGGAAAAAAAATAGGAGGAGAGATGTAGGAAAGAAAAAAGAAAGAAAAGAAAGGGAATAAAATAAAGAATAAAGGAGAAAAAGAAGAAAAAATACCAAGTAATATGATACAATAATATACAAAGAATGTTCCTAAAAAAAACTGTATAAAATATTTTTATTATATTATTATTGATACTTGATACTTTTTCATTATAAAGTATTAATGCATTGTATTATATTTTATTTGCAGTTATAGTTGTTAATATCGTTAACGTTACAGTATCAATGTCTTTCGTGTTGGAGAGCATGCAACACATTGCCTAAAAAGAAGAAAGAATGAAATAATGGAGAAAGGAAAAAAATAGGAAAAGGGATGTAGGAAAGGAAGAAGAAAAAAGAAAGAGACGAGAGATGAAGAATCAGAAAGAAGCAAGAAAGAAAAAACAAGATACAGGTAAGAGAAGAAATTTAACTATAGAATTTAATCTTAAAATTATATCGTTGTTATTAAAAATTAATAATTTGAGACACTTCATGTTTTATTTCTGTACATTTCTGTAAATAAAATGTATTGTAAACTATTTATTTTTTAGTAATGATGATGAAATAGGGATGAGAGTGGCGAGACAAAAAATTGGTAGGAAGAAAGAGATTTAAGGCGAATGATGAGACGCAATAAATGCAAGAGCCGAAAGATGAGAGAAGGAAGAAGCTGGATAGAGCTGAAAGACGAAAGAGGAGATTCGAGAGATGGGAAACGAGACAGACGTATATAATTCAAGATACAGGTGAGAGGAGAAACTTTAACTTCGAAATTTAGTTACGTCAGACGAGTGGTGAGACAAGATAGAGGCGAGAGATGAGAGAGGAAAGAATTGAGATAGATGCGAAAGACAAGAGAGGAAAGATAAGAGACTAGAAAGTGATATTGGTGAGAAAGCAGTGATGAGCGATGAGAAAACGAGAAAGAGGCAAGACAGACAGGAACAAAACGAGTTATAGGTGAGAAAAAGTTCTAATTAAAAAATAAGAGTGATAAGGCTCAATAAATTAGAAATTACTGTCACATTAGAGGGCTACGAGCCAAAAATTAAAATATAACGTTGGTAAT